CCCCAAACCCAAAAAAAAAAAAAAAAAAAAAAATGGAAAGAATAACAGTAGAAACAGCTCGTATTACATACCTAAATCTGTATACTATACTTCAATCGACTTCAGTTTTCTTTCTTCAACAGAGTGGCCGTTGCCCGTTGCCCATCCATTTTTGGATCTCATCCTAACCCTAGTTCTCATCCATCACATCACAGTTGCAGAGTTTCATATCCAAGATCCTGCTGCGCCACCTTGTTCATTTGAACACACATCTACCCTGGTTTCATGCCGTATCCTTTTTTGTTAGAGGTCTTTCTACATCAGCAACAAACCTTCCTCTAGCTCTTGCTACATCCAAAGAACCTTAAGCAGTCTACAAGGCCGGTAAAACAAGTGCGGATGCCAACTCCCACAGCGAACGAACCACGAAGATCACGCATAAACAATCCTTACGCGGCCCATGAAGACGGGGAGCAGTCAACAGGCATATGAAGAGGATTCGTTATCGGCGAGCGAGCGTTCGGCGATTCGCCCCTATAGCTCAGTGGTAGAGCGCTTCACTGTAAGTTATATGATCATATCACCCCTTCGAAAGGCGCCAGATATTGACTGTTCCAGCGTAGTGTACCATTCACAAGTGCTATGAAGAGGTCCATCGTTCGAACCGGTGTGGGGGCACAGCCTTCTGTTTCTTTTTTGGCTTATACTCCGTACTTCCTTGGCTTCTCTGGTTCTCTCCACCGCGGAACAAAACAACATGATGTTGGTAGTCTAGACTGGTATGAATTAGGTCTAGATAGTTAGATATTGTATCTGCGCCTGGCAAATAAGATTTTGCTGAGAATGAAATGATGGACCCGCTCCTACTTCCCAATTGCAACAAACAGCCTGTCACCAATATCCCCCAAGCCAGGCATAATCATGCCCTGTGCATTGTATTTCTCGTCCACCGCCCCGGTCCAGAACTCTACCCCCTCCGGCCAAGATTCGGCGACACGGCGGATGCCATCCTCTGAGCCGAGCACGCTTAGCATAACCACCCGCTTTACGCCCCATTCACGCAGGAGATGAATCGCCGCTTCGGCCGTGGCACCGGTAGCCACAATAGGATCGAGAAGAACCGCGGTGTCAGCGGCAGCGGTGTTAACAGCGTTGGGAGGGGTGGCGTCTTGGCGCTGGTAGGGGAGATTGTTGTAGTATTCGACAGGTTCGAGTGTGAGCTTCTCACGGAAGAGACCGAGGTGGTAGATGGGAACTGGGGACGGAAGAAGATTGTTGATTGCTGGTTCGTGGTGCACCTGGTAAGAATGGAGACAGTCGGTAGTGAATGGAACAACATACCCTCGATCATGCCCAGTCCAGAGCGGAGAATGGGTACCAGTGCAACATTGGCCGGGTTGATACCTTGGGTATCATATTCGATGCCTAACGGGGTTTGATCCTGGAGAGTAGATTAACACCGACGATCTGATACAATCCGGGCCGATCCGGGCCGATCAATCGTTACCGTTCCCTGCTTTGTGGTCTCAAGAACCGTTGCAAATGCCTCGACGCCAAGAATGGTTGCGATCTCGTGGACGAGGCCCCTTGTTTCGCGGGTGGAGGCCGATTTGGACCGCAGCTGGGATAGCTTGGCTTGAAGGCAGGGATGGGAGGAGATATGGACATTGGAAGGGAGAGGCATCGTGACTAGAATAATCCGGGGGTGTTCTTATCGTAGAAGCCGTAAAAGAGTAGAGAGATAAAAGACTATTGGAATTGGTGAGGGGAAGAGAGAGATGAGGAAATAAATACACATCAGAGAAGTGAGGGGTTGGGTTGGGTTCATGTCACCTGCTCGGGGAAAGTATGCGTTGTGTCTGTCGCTTGATGTCAGCATTTTTGCTTTTCTTCTTTCACTTTCCTCTTTGCAATTTCTCCCATCCACCCGCATTCCTCTCCCTCTCCTTCTCTCCCCACAAGTGCTGGTATCTTTATCTTTGTTTCCCCCTCATGTTTATCGGAAACTGATAAGCTATCAAGCATCACTTATCAGCAGTCAATCAACAACTAAACCATTGTTTACCCACTCAAATACCCACCGACGACAATGACCCACCCACCTCCATCCAATCTTCGATCTGACTTTTCCCAATTCCTTGCAATGCGTCAGAACAGTTTTTTATTCACCATGAGGATTAAGACTGGGTGATGGCAATTGCTAACTGAGCTTCAACATGCAATCAACTAACAACGTACCCCCCGACGATCCAGACAATCAGTTGTCTGAGACCCGAGCGCCGCCTCCCGCCGCTGGGGAAGCTGCACAACGCCAAACTTGGTCTTCCGAAGGCTATACACTCCCTCGCACCACCGACAAGCCCCCCGATGGCCCGGTAGAACCGACTCCCTCGAGAAAGGAACCCGTCGCAAAGCCGCTCTCCCAATATGCCACACACCTCTTCACTCTCTCCTACCTGGTCTTCTTCGCCGTCTTCGGCACACTAGCGCGCCTCGGCCTGCAAGCCCTGACTCTCTATCCAGGAGCTCCCGTCGTGACAGGCGTTCTCTGGGCCAATGTAGGAGGATCGCTGCTGATGGGCTTCCTCCTCGAAGACAAAAATCTTTTCCGGGAAGAATGGGGCGACGTGAGCCACAATAGCACAGGAAACAACGCCGAAGACCCAAGCGCCGAAGCAAACCGTCACAAGTCCATCAAAAGGACAATCCCACTATACATCGGTCTAACAACCGGCTTCTGCGGCTGCTTCACCTCCTTCTCAAGCTTTATCCGGGACATCTTCCTCGCTCTATCCAACGACCTCTCGGACCCGTCCACCCCAACCATAACCTCGCGCAATGGCGGGTACAGCTTCATGGCCCTAATAGCCGTCATCCTCACCACAGTAGCCCTCAGTCTCGGCGCGCTCATATTCGGCGCCCATATTGCCCTCGCCCTCGATCCATTTACCCCCGCGTTTCCCTTCCGGCTCACGCGCCGAGTCATAGATCCCCTCTTCGTCGTCCTCGGCTGGGGATGTTGGCTAGGAGCCGTCTTCCTCGCAATCTGGCCCCCAGATCGCAACGATCCTGCCACGGAGTCCTGGCGCGGCCGGGCGGTGTTTGCGATCGTTTTCGCGCCCCTCGGCTGTTTCCTGCGGTACTATGTCTCGCTCGCACTGAATACCAGACTGCCCACCTTTCCATTGGGAACATTTGCCGTGAACATCTTCGGCACGATCATTCTCGCCATGTGTTATGACTTGCAGCATGTCGATGGTATCGGGGCTTCCTCTCTTGGTGCTGCGGCTGGTTCTTCTATTCTTCAGAGCTGCCAGGTGCTTGCTGGAGTCATGGATGGGTTTTGTGGCTCGGCGACTACCATAAGTACGTGGGTGGCCGAATTGAATGGGTTGAGTCGTCGGCTGCATGCATATATCTATGGCATTGTCAGTGTAGGGGTGGCACTAGGGTTCTTTGTCATTATCACGGGTTCCTTGAGGTGGACTCTTGGGTTTGTGGAACACGTTTGTAAATGATGTCAAGTGGAGGTACTCTACACACTGTAGGTTAATATACAAGTCTAGACTAGAACCTAATACAACCAATGTATGAACCAAATTTCTACTCATCAATTTACTAATGGAAGACTACTCCTACTAACTACAGATCATGAAGAAATTAGATCCCCGCTCGAACCAAATTGTATTTTGTGCTAGAATTACTTATAGTACAGGGTACTACAACGCAAAACCATGTGCAAGCAAACGAAATTAACAACATTATCGAAGTGAACAAAAAATCTTCAAGAACGGAATACCAAAGCATGCAGAACAGATGCGTCAAAACAAAATCAACCAAAAAATATGAGGGGGGAGAGAAGAACGCAAACATTAACGGCGGGGACGGCATGAACACATAAACTCAGAACGAATCTAACTCACATTAAGGCAAAAGCTCAAGCACAAGCACAAAAGTAGTAGAGCAAAGTATATGAAAAGGAGTGACTTGAAGAGAAAAAACTTTAAAGAGGTAAGATGAATATATAACGGACAAGGTATCAAATGATCAGGGGACAAATCGACTGGCAAATTGACCAAACACGCTGATGCGCAGAAGCGAAGCACTAAGGATTAATAGTGTAAAGATGAGTATGAAGCAAACAACTCCACCGAGTGCTAAAGTGAAGAACACACAGGACCAGCCGGGTGTCGAAATGTTGCCTTGGGAAGCTGCCCGTGAAAACAAGAAAATGACCACACCGGACTCCTGTGAGCTCTTGCAGAAACCAACAGGAAGGACCATGAAAAAGCAATGGAAGACGTAAGAAAACGGAGAGCAAGAAAGAGAAAATCAAAACAACGTCAGTCAGGAGACACCAGCAAGAAGCATTATGCGGCGGTTCAGATCATAGCATTCCTTAACCGGAAATCAAACTTGGCCGCCCACCTTCTTGCTCCATCCCGACCCTAAATACCGAGATTCCGCCAGTGTCCAAATGCCCAGGAAAACGAGAGGATGAAAAACAAAAGCAATTGAATGGTAATTAGGCCCGAGTCGGGCCAAAGAATTCACTAGAGGTGATATAAAGCACGAAGGGCTGAAACGTAATCGACGTACTTATTAGCCTTAGTACGCCGTGCCTACACTAGCAAGTGTCTTTGTCGGCATTGGGTGAATAGGCTGGTCCTTGGCAACGCGCAACGAGTCTTCGTAGCCAACCAAGGCCTGCGAATGAAGTTTGAATGATTCGCCCATGAGCTTGGTAATTCTAGAAAAAAAAAACTGTTAGTGATTTTGTTTCAATACTGAATTTTAAGTTTCGCTCAAAAGGGAACTTACCCCCATACTACCACGCCGTCTAGGATGTTACCCCATACACGGGCCACGGTGGAGCTGAGTTTACCGAAGGCATCGACGGCGTCATCATCAAATAAATTCCGCACCTTATTGTAGATAGCCAACTCAGCCTCGGTCGCAGGCTCTTCGTCGTGTTCCAGACGATAGAGCCAGAGACTCAAGATGACCATCAGATCTAAGCCACAGAGCGGGTGCTCGACACTCCAGTTGGTGGCAGATGTCTTCGCAACCCAGTTAATTCCTTGGACAGCGGCAATCTCTATACATTCAAAGCATGACTGGATAACCTTGTTCATCTCTTGGGACCGTTTTACTTTCTCGCGGGCAACCGTCATCGCAGCCGCCACTTCGTACGAGGAATGGTACCGTAAGGCCTCCTGGATCGACTTCAAATCGACTTCCAAACGGGCACGCGTGTTGCGGTATACGGCCATGGAATTGAAGATCAATGGATGGCCCTTTTGGGGTGTGCTGAGAGGGACCACGATCGTCTCTGGTTCACAGACCTCAAGAGAGTTCTCCCATGTTTCCAAGGCGAGACGGAGCTTGTACTCGGTGACGACGTCTTGAAGAGCCTCAAAGCTCCGCTTGTGGTTCCAAACCTGTAGGAACAGTGCGTTGATCAAGACACGAGTCGCAAAAGCGCTGTACCGAACTTGTTCACCCTGGAAGAGACAATCATGAGCTTCGCGCACAGTGAGAGTAGTAGCTGATGCTAGGCTGCGGCGCCAAGCTTCATCATCCCCAACATCGAGGTTCCACAGCGATTCTGATGATGGGAGTTCCAGGTTATCAAATTCGTCGAAGCTCATTGCTGGGGTATGGTTAAAGGTCAGCGT